CAGAAATGCAGGTGCTAATGTCACTGCTGTAATGCAGTTATTTTTATATTTGAAAAGAAACATCAAAATGACCCCTATGTTCTCAGTGTAGCCTCTTACATGATTCCTCAGCCAGGCCAAAGCTTAAGCTGTGTGTTTTGGTTCTGAGGATGGGCATAGACTGTARTTACTGGTAGTGGGTTTGGGTGCTGTTATTCCAATATTAGAGTTGTTTTCCCTGCTGTGTTTTGGAGGTGGGACTAGAGCAGGTGATTTCAGACCCCAGGAATAGGCCAGACACTGCTGTAGTAAGACTGAATTGTGCTTGAAATCCAGGAGATGGGAAAAGAGATTTTTCTCATGTTTTTGCGAGATATTGAAGCAGTCTGGTTAAGAACTGTTTCTTATAAGAAGCAAATAAACTAGGACTGTCTGTAGAGGGAATTCAAATGCAAAAGGGCCAGAAATCAGCAGTGTTTTCAGTGCTGCATTTGATTGTAGAGAACACCTGCAAAAGCCTGATGCTTTTAGCAGAAAAACTCTTCTTGCATGGATGGGCTCTGGCTCATAAATTTGAACTGGTGAAAGGAGTTAGCTTGAAACTGCTATAAAGTTAGTTCTGTTTGGTTTGCTCATACAAAGAAAGGAAACCAGAGGAACAAAATAAAGCAACAAGTTATGTCATTAAAGCTTGGTGAATTCATAACTGGAAACCSTTAAATGCAGTACAGGAGAGGGTGATGTTTTCTGTGGTTGCTGTAGATTGCAAGAAGATGGGACTGAGATGGGCTCAGGTTGAAGTTGCCTGTTGAATAGTCCAGCTTTTTTTYCCCCTTTTAAAGCCTCCAGGGAAAGCTAAAACAAAAAAAATCAAAACTGAAGAAGCAGCAAGGATACAAAAAAMCCCCTTCCCTCCCTCATTCCTTGGTGCTGCTTGGTTTCCAGCAGTCTTAGCTGTGAAACCTCTGTCTCTTGAAAACCAGCCTTTTAACACGTTACATGTGGTGGTTTTGAGGCAGTGGGTGTAAATGTAAAGCTGCGTTTCGTGGTCACCTATAACTTCCTTTATCATTTGTGATACCACTGGAACAATTGGCTGCTGCTGTTTTCATTAAAAAAAAAAAGAAGTTCCCAAATTGGAAGGAAACTTCAGGTAAAATCTTTATGGTCACACAATCTTTCCTGCACCAACATCTGCACCTCAGCYGTCACAGTGAACACATCTGAACTTGGGTCCACTTTTCAGTTTCATAGGTGGTTTTGCCCTGTCTGCTCTGAAGGTGGTGTGTGCTGGAAGGTCGTTTTTGGTGCCTTAGAGACCCAGCTTTTGTTAGCAGAGGTCTTATGCTTCTGCCACACRCTGCTTGTTCCACCCGCATTTCAACAGAGCCACCATTTGTGCCTTTTGCACCTGTGATAATTCTAGGAATTATTTGCCGTTACTCAGTATAGATGATACATTTATCCATAATTGTGTGTTTTTTTGCAGAATCTCTTTTTTCCCCTCACCATTTCTCCCATATAACTCTGCATTTTCTATTTTGTGTATCCCTAGCTTAGAGCCAGATCTTTGGCTTTGCAGGTTAGACTAACAACTTGCTATTACACCAAGAGGATTTGTCTTGCCAAGAAGACTTCTGAGCTTGTGCTCGATGAGCTTSTGAAGCTGGAAGCCTAGCATAGTAAGCTAGGGGCTATAAAGCCTCTACTGTGATTTAAATTAATAAGGTGCAAGGTAGMTAAGTTTAAAATTTCAGTCAATCTTCTAGTTTTCAGGTACCCTCTCTGTGTTCCAGAAAGCTGTTTTCCAGGCAGAAGCGCCATGGAGAGCAGCAATAGCCAGTTTTTAAGTGCCTGTGTTTTTCTCTGTATTTGCTTAACAGCAGGAATRCAGCACTGGATCCTTGGCTTTTATCAGGAAACTCTTTCCTCACTAGAGAGTGTGAACTGTCTAMCTAATAATTTGCCCTAACAATTTCTCAGATGCAGAAGGAGTTACTAGATACTGAACTGGATTTGTACAAGAAGATGCAAGCTGGGGAGGARGTGACCGAACTCAGACGAAAATACACGGAGCTGCAGTTGGAGGTATGTGCTCCTCTGCTCTTGTAACACTTCCCTGGTACTCACATGGCTTCTCAGCATTTTTATTGGCTTGTGTTATGTGTTGCAAGCTGGGTTTTTTCCTAGAATGCAATTGTTAAGCTACGTAGACATGGAGATATTTAGCAAGAGTATGCTCCAGGACCAGTTTCTGGATTCCTGTTAAATAGAGAAATAGTGGCATGCATTTTGAATACTAATCACTTTAAATTCTGTAATTGTTTGGGTGCCTTGGCATTTTATAGCTACGCAGTGGTTGCACTTTCTTGGGATCATAGTGTATTTTTAAATTGCTGCCTGTAGGTGGTGCTGTGTTTGAGATAAAATATGTGTACTTCTGCTTACGAAAAAAAATAATTTAGCTAGCTCCTAAACCTTTTTTTGCTAATAGAATTAATATTCTGAGACCTTTTAGCTAATACTGATCATGGTAGATGCAAAAAAAATAGGCTTGTAAGTGAAGCACACTATAAAKAATCACATGAAATGTATACCTTTGATAATTTATAGAGGCATCAAATCTATATGTATGCTTGTTTTTTAATTTGACACTTGTTTGAGTCCTAACTGTTTCTTTAGATCAACTTTTATCCAGGCATTGTCATTGTGACTTTAAATCCTGCCCTGTTTGCACCCTTCTTCTGTGGCTCATAATCTACCCTTCCATTCAAGGTGGCCCTGTATTTAACTGCAGGGAAAAAGCAGGAAACATGTAGAATTGTTGAAGCAGCCTGTTCTTATTTAACTTTTGCAGTTATCATACCCTTGACAATCATTAAAAAAACAGGTTTGCTTCCACAAAAAAAGTGTCAACTGTTTATATGTTGTAGTTATCCGAGTAATATTGGAAATGGAAAAGCCATAACAGATCATTCTGCTCGTGGATATTGCTTGCATGCATTAGARTATTGCCATCAATATCTCACCTGTAAACACTGTGTATGGTATATGCTAAAATACTTTGCTATGATGATTCTGCTTGACATTTTTATTCCTAAATTGAACTTGTTTGCCAAAAAGCAAGCAAAAAAACTGCATGTCACAAACTTTAAGGTTACGTTCCTTAAAATTGCCTTTAAAAACTTCAGCTTTAWCAAGTTGGAGGAAAAAAAACAATTAGATATTGTCTTTGGCCCCAGGAGCTTTCTTAAAGATAGTTCCTGGAGGAGAAACACAGGTTCTGTGGAAATTGAAGTGTGCCATTGGCCCTGGGTTCTTTAAGGTGCTCCTTAGAGCCTCTGTGTATTCCTTACAGCTCGCTGGTCAGCAGCCACTGGGATGTTTCAGCCTTTGGATTAAAATTCCTGGTTGAGAATTCGGAGAATAACTTAGTACGAGATCAAAAATAATTATTAAGCAATTAAGTTTGGATGTTGGACTGTAGTTGCAGTCTCTTGTGAGCTGTTGTTCTCACAAGCAAGGAGCCTTTCAACATCTGAAACATCTGATTTTTCTACCTTTTTTTAACATCTGATTTTTTTACTTTTTTGAACTTTCTCATCCTATTATTGATCTGTTAATAATTTAATGGTATTAGTTCTTTTCCGGTGTTGTCAACATGTTGATCCCCGGTTATTTTAAGACACGGAAATTGGTCTCTGGGAGGCTCGTTTGGGAATATGTTGGTTTGTTCTTTCGTGTGTGTTWTATTTTAGGGAGCGTGGGGTATGTATTTGTGTGTGTTGTGCCTAATTAAAGCGTGCGGGCTGTAACGCGGGGCTGTGTGACCCCCTCAGGCCGCCAAGCGGGGGATCCTCTCGGCGGTTCGCGGGAGAGGGGCTCACGCGCGGGGCCGCGCCGCCTCGCGGAGCAGAGGCCGAGGAATCCGCGGCCGGGGCAGGGGCCGAGGCGTCCCCGTGCACGCCGTCGTGGATCACCGGCCCCGCGCGCTCGAGATCTCGGCCTTCACCGAAAGTGACCGGGAGGACCTCCTGCCTCATTTTGCGGTAGGTTTGTGCCGCTCTGGCCCCCGCTCCTCCTCGGGGGCTGCTCCTCSGTGCTCAGTGAGTTTCGGTTCCTTGGGTTATTCGGAAATTAGTGATTGTCGCGATCTTCCTAGCTGTGAAAAAGAGGGTGCATCAGAAAAGTAGAAAAACAAGAAACTGGTTACAGTAGCAACCCTGTACCTAGGCTGGGGGATTTGGGTTTCTCGCTTACTTGTTTTCTCATCTTTTATTTATTTATTTTTCYTTACATTGGAAAAAAAAATGGGATATAAAATAATGACTTCAATATTCAGTTACCCAGAACAGAATACTTGTGAAAAAAGATTGCAGGAAGTCTCCAGGCATAAAAAATTAAATAACTACGAGGGGATTGTGCAAGCAAWGAGTACTTTTCAAAGTCTTGCAATCCCCTTATTTTTCATAAAATATCTTACCAAACAATTACCAAAGTAATTATTTGTAGTTCCATGTACTCAGCTTACTTTTTTGCCATGATACCTGGGATCTTTTAAGTACATTTGGCATCTGTAGCAACAGTACCAAGTTGGTCTGAAATCTTCAGAGTTTTTGCCTCACCTTCTGAATTTACGACTGAATTTAAGTGAGAACTGTGCAATTATTGGAAGGCCTTGCCAGGAAAGGCACAGATTTCTCACCCTTTGTTTACAGAAGTCTAGAATTCAGACTTCTTTCTACAATTGATATATTTTTTTAGCCTTTTTTAATGTGCAAATGTAATAAAATGAGAATTGAACAGAAGGGGGGAAATCTTTGTCCTCTCAAAAACCTACGATAAAAGGAAATTTGTTTTTGTTGAATTAATGCTGAAAATATTGTGGAATCTGCTTAAATCATGGGTGAGTTTTTATCCTCCTCTTCCTTTTTTTCAATATTTAATTTACAATATTCTGATTTTATACGATTTCTAGAGCATTCTGCTTAGGACTACGCTTGTGCGAGGGAGGACTGTTTCACTAAGTTTATTTTTTTTTCCTTACTAAAAGCAATATGGTGAAATTGAAGATTGCCAGATAGATGACTCTTCTCTCCATGCAGTGATTACCTTTAAGACAAGAGCAGAAGCTGAAGCTGTGAGTATAGTCTTTGCTAAAAAAAAAAAACTTTTTTTATATATTAAATTCAATCAAATGTATTTTGTATAATTACTGCTGAGTGAAAAACTATGTAAGAACTGCTGAATGTTTTCAAACAAGTCTAAAACAAAGCTTTATTTTGTAGWTTAAGCAACATAGAACAAATAATGTCAAACTGAAATATTGATTTACTGAAATTCTTAGTAAATGAGGGAGTTTATAACAAAGCAGTCAAATGCAGGATGTAAGTAAGAAAAGAAGTATTCTGAAAGCAAGAGGGACTCTAAAAAAAGAAAAAGAATTCATGGGGATTCATGGTTCTTGTTGAGATTTCATTTTATGTTTGTTTTCCACAAATTTGTCCTCTTGGAGGTTCTGCAAATAGAATTTTAATACATGGCCAAAATTTGCTCTTTTTATATGCTTCATCTTGAGAAATCRGTGACCAGATACACAGAAATACCAGCATTGACACTTGAAGTTTGAGAACTCTAGTTCAAATGCTTATGTGGTTRACTTATTTTGAGAAACAATTTGAGGCATCTCCCAAAGATGGATTAAAGAAAAATAGAAACTCATAGATGCAAGGGTGATGAGCCCAAACTATATCAAGATCGTAATTATTCTGTAAAAGAAGGAAGTGTAATTAATGATGTAATTAATGGTGCATATATGGGTTCTTACCAAATGATGAAGGTTTAAAAAGAAAAAAAAATTGTTCAACTGTCCCTTGAAGGAGTGTGACTGGGCAGCAAATAAAATGTGTCTATGGGAAATGAATGGGAATTCACAGGTAAAAGTGGTTGTAATTAGTTTATGCACAAGCAAACTGAGTTTAGTTTTTTTATTTTGGCACTTCCTAGCTTTGGATAATAGATTTTGCAACTTCCTAATTGTTGCTTCCCTAAGAAATTTATTAAGTATTGAGAAGAACTTACTTACGCTGCTTCCTAAACAAAAATTAGGAAACTCAGAACAATAATTTATTGCTGCGCACCATCTAAATAAAGTTCTTATTGATACTAGATTGAGCAGGAATCTCATCAATTTTCCAGACATTTGCTGCAAACAGAAATTCTCTTCTAGAGATAACTTTTTTTATCAGTGATTTTTTTAAATTGCTACAACTTGTTGTTATTATTGTGAAAAACTGGTGTGACAAATCCTTTGAGATCTCTGTAGATCTTTCCTCTACAGATCTGCATTTTTATGTGCGACAAGCAGTAGATTTCTACATCTTCCCTAAGAGATCCTAACATAAAATATATCTGGCTGGYAGTTATGTGTTGTAGTAAAGCAGACTTGAAGACTGGTAGTTGGAGAAGTTACAGGATAGAATGTACTCACCCCAAATTTCTGTTCAAGCTGATTGTGAAGTAAATGTGGCTAATATTTTACTATATTTTTATTATATTTTAATAATTTTAAAAGAAAAAATGTGTAACCTTTAGGATCTTACATGTTTTAACCAGGAAGGAAGAGGAGGATTCCCTACTGTAAAATGTTGAATTTCTGTGTAGTAGTAATTTCTCCAAACATTGCAAGTTGTTTCTAAACCTACGTGTCACATATAAATACTTCTAAAAATCCCAGCTCTGTGACATTGTGATGAGACCGTGGACAGAAGGCTCCTGAGCCGCATTTTAATAGGAATCTTTTAAGTTTACCATAAATTTATATGTCTGGGTTTGAAAGTTATCCCTGGGGGTTGGACGTGGCGCAGTCGGTGTTGAGGCGGTTCCTCCGCTCGGCGTCGGGCGGCGCTTGGAGGCTGCTGTAAACCTGCTTATTTCGGGGTGCTGCTAACGCCCGTTTACCCTCCGTCGCGTCACCTTAAACTGACCGCACTGTTTCCAAAGCAGCCCTGTAGCCTTTCTGCTGCTGAAGGCAGCGTGAGTATCCCAGAAGTTAATTTTTTTTTGTTACGTTTCAATAACAAAGACTTCACAGGAGGTGGGAACATTTTCCAGGAGATCAAGTTGTAATCATGAGGTGTATTATTTTTATATCAGATCATTTTTATTGTGGGGTGCTTTATTTTTTTTAAAGTAAGTAATGTRTTAATTGTTTTTCTTCTTCTGTGTCAGACTTTGCAAGGTAGATGAGACAAAATGAAAGAGATGTTGGTTTCACAGTGCTGTCCACATCACCAAATGATTTATGATTTTCAAAGCCTTTCTTGTATTTTATATTTTCTTATTTTATATTCTTATGTTTCAACACTTCTTTCCAGAAAGTATGTGAATTCTCTCTACTTAGTCTATTCTAGTCTAACTTATCAACAGTAGCTGAAAAAGAATTTATGAACTTTTTAAAGCTCAGATTTTCTTAAAAATAAATAAAATGAAGACTGTTGGTTTATTTCTGGYACTGATGTTTTATGGGAAATTATATTCCTGTATTAAGAAACAYGAAGTTAAAAACTTGAATTCGTTTTAGGCTGCAATTCATGGATCTCGGTTTAAAGGGCAGGAGTTAAAGTTGGCGTGGAACAAGCCCACTGCTAGCATGTCTGCTGCTGAAACAGAAGAAGCTGAACCTGACGAGGAAGAAGTAAGCTTGTTTTTTTGATTTTAATATTCTTCTAATTATTTACAGTGAAGTAATGTCTGTCTTTTCTGAAGATGATTTGTGGATTCATGCTTCTGTGCTTGAATGTGACTCATCTTTTGATTTCACTAAGTAGATCTATCAGTAAATATATTACTTGTGTTCCAGCCTATTGCCATGCCAGATACTTTACTTTTCTTTGCGGGAGAGTTTCATCTCTTAAACAAAAAAAAAAATCTGGAGGGTGTAGTTAGAAAATTGGAGGCGTGAGTGTGACCTTGCCTGAAAATAGTTGAGGACTTTAGCCAAAACCGATTATTTGTTCAGTCTACTTAGGCATTAATTCCATAGAGGATTGAAGTTTAGAATCTAAGCTTCCTTTGAGGAGATGYTTTTTTAGGGGGCATGCAGATAAAGGAACAATTTTAGAGCTTTTGCTCAAAACACCACCAACAAAAAAAATCCATACCTTGTCATCTTGGCCTGAAAGATGCAAAAGCTTTAACCAAACAGCTTTACTGAATTCACCTAGAAATAGCAGGGAAAGATCTCATGATGTATTTAGCTCTTTAAGGTCAAAATACCTGTAGTTGTGAACCGTGAAAAAWTAAATGCCACTTGGACAAAAATAGGCAGTCTTCTTCCTTTTAATTCATGTATTGTGTCTTAGTTGGTTCTGTGTCATAACCATAGAGCAGCTGAAGTATTTTAAATACACTTTGACTTTCTAGGACTATTGTGTGTGTGTGTGTCTTTGCTCTGTGGTACTTTGGCCTGTCCACCAAAGGAGCCATTTACACATTCAGATTTCAACATGACCCAGTTCAGTTCGTCTTTCTGCACTTTGTGGTGCTCAGTTTTCAGGAGGATGCGAGTGAGCCAAGAGACTCTGCAGGGGAATCTGTGGAGGATCTTAGGTGATTTAGGTCCCTTCCCCTTCAGGGATATGGTGCCTCTGCAGATGGACAGCAGTGTTTGTTCCTAGAAGGAGTCTGCTCTGTGGAGAGGCCTCACTGAGAAGCTGCTTCACTGAGACATCTCTGTTTTGGTTAACGAAGGAAAGGGCATGCAGGCATGTACAAACACTAAGGCAGGCACTCTTGGTCCCTGCCTTTGGTGAGACTGGTAGGTGAGATGCAGGAGGAATCAGCTTTTGGTCCCGCTTGGAGGTACTGACCATCTTGGTGGTGGTAGGGAGCGGGGAGAGGCGGTGACGGGCTGTGCGCTCCAGCCGCCCTGCTGAGGGGACAGGGGGGAGCTCTGGAAATGTCCCGGGCCCTTGGGTGTTTAACAGCTCTTGTCTGTTGAAAAGTAGTTTAGCAAGTGGGATACACCTAGTTTAGGTGATGTTCGTCCTCCTCAGCAAGACTCATCAAGTATGGAAARAAACCTGTTTGCGTGAGACCATTTTCTGTGACTTGCACTTTGTTGGATCCATGGAAAACTTTCTGTAATTACATGCATTAGATGTTGACCTTTATTGTAAATATCTGTTACCTGTTTTTTTGTTGTTGGTTTTTGAGCTCTATTTTTATTTATTTAATTGTTTTCCTCTTTCTTTCTCAGGATTATTTCTGCAATTAAGCCCTTGGCTAATGATTTTTGTGGGAAATGTATGAGAGTTTTTGATCTAGGATCAAAATCCTAGATACTTCTTTTTTTTTTTGCTTGCTGAAATTTTTACAATAATGAACGTCCGATATAAAAATACCATTATATTAATCTGCTCTGTTTCTGGATTCTTACTTGGGTCAGTGTTTACAGATTTCTTATTTAACATGATGGATACATTGAAGTACGAGCTTACACTCCTCCATTTTCATAGTGGTCCGGGTATATTTTGCTTATATACTCACTAATATCTCCTGTTTGCTTAACATGATTGTATTTTATTTGAATTCTTTACAACTGAATTAGTCCCTCCAACCTTCAGCAGATTTCATTACATTATGACTTTTTACTCACTAGTCCTTGGAAAATTTGTGTTTCTTTCATCTTGAGAGCTCTTTGAGTTGTTTCTAGCGTTTGATTAAGTTAATATTTGGAGCATAATGTTCCCTTTGCCAGGTCCTGGATGGATCGGTTTCAGGAACAGCCAGTTCATTTGCTCGAGATTAACCACTTGCATTGAAGAAATTCTGCAGTCCTGTTGTTTAGAGTTTTTACTCATGTAGGATGAGATCAAGGTGGTTTTCCCTACAGTCAAGTGGCCTGAATTTCAACCAGGCATTCTTCAAATGTGTAAATTACCTCAATGTTAAAGAAAATAAACGAGGTCATTCCACAGAACGATGTCTTTGAGCAGCAGTAAACCATGGCTCCTAACATGCTTATGAAAATCTAAAGCAAGGCTTTCTAGGCTTAGGCACAGTGGAGTCTGCACCCCACACACTGCCCAGAAAATCCCGGGTGAGGAGCCTCTTGATGGTGAAAAGCCCCTTGGGGGCCACGTGTGTGTGTCGCTGCTGGTGGGCGCCTCGCAGGAGAGTTGACCCTCCTGAGTCAGCAGCAGGTGCCTGGGGACACCYGGACACCCAGTTGCAGAGATACCCATTGAAGCAGTTTGCAGTTCAGGGGCCTCTGGAGGGAAAGGTGGTGTCTCTGTAGCTGAAGGGCTTTTACAGGTCTCTGTTCCATGAATGGGCTTCTTTGGAGCTGGCTTTAATTATGTCCTGTAATGCCCTGTGACAAGGAGTGCTCCCATTTTAACCATGTGTACCAAGTGCAGTTACCTTTAAACACGAGGATGGTGAGCCAATATAATTTTTATACTCTTGTATCAAAAAAAGGGAACAACCGTCATCCTTCACCCTCGCTTAAGACACTTAATAGACTTCCATTGTACTTCTCCCAAGTTATCTTGGGATCTCCAAGGGGAAATCCTGCTTGACTAACC